TATATATATATATATATATATATATATATATATATATATATATATATATATATATATATATATATATATATATATATATATATATATATATATATATATATATATATGATACTACGTGTAAGAGTGAACCTTTGCGGTTTCTTCAATCATAAGGGAGTCTATCCTACATCTTAAGAAAGATTATTTTGTAAATTCTACGGAACCCTCAGACTAAGATGCCCCATTTTTTATTTCTACCACTCTTAGCTGTAAGCCCCATAAGAAGAATAAAAAAAAGTATACTCAGATCACCTACTCATCAAAGGCGTGGTATCGTTAAAGGTATGATAGCACAAACCAATTTGCAATATCATATGCAACTATTGAATGTAAACTTGTTTATATTCATGTATATCTCTAAATTAAATATGAAAATATCTTCTCCTAATATGGGAACTCTCTTTTAATGTGTATATGCATATGAATGCATGAACCCTATGAATACCAGCTTTCCAGCTATTATATCCTGGATCTTCATTCTGTTTTTTTCTCAACTATCCGAATGGATGCAGAGTTAATTCAGTAAATGTTTTGAAGATCTCACGTTTCTTTCATCCATTGAAGCAAAATCATCACCAAAGATTCTTGTCCACAAAAGGATCATGGAGGCTAGACTACGATCCGCGTGAGTTTTCACTCCTTTCCCTTTACACAAATTTTCTTGATTTTCACAAATGCATTAACACAGAAATGTTGCGTGTTTCGCCCCTCCAATCTCAGGGATGATGTACACAAAAGAAAGCTGCAGAAAATCAAAATCGAAGTAGTCAAGCCTGTCCAACAGCCCTTTCATGAAAAGAGTACAAGGTTGAAGCTGCATCCCCTCAAACTTATGCTGTTTGTGTTGGTAACTGCTACATTCCTCATTCTTCTGTCCACCCCAAATGGTTGTCGCCGAAACAATTCGTCCCAACCTTCTAGTAAGTAAGTTGGCACACCATTCTTCTAAACTTGAGGTTTCATAATAAAAAAAGTCTAAACGGTTAGGTGTAGTACCAAAACTTTATGAGATTTATCCGCCTTAACATGACGCAGGCCTCATTTGGTGGACAGGTGGTGGGTTTGGGGTGTTTCAGACCCCAGGTACGCATCAGACACGGTTGTTAACTGGGATGATGTGTCTGTAGTTGTTAATGGGTTAGCAGAAAACAAGAAAATCCAAACAACTGGTCTCCTCAACTTTGATGAGGTGGAGATCAGGCAATGGAGAAAGATGGTTCCCGAAGCCAACCACATTGTCCTGCATCTTGATCACGCAGAACAGAATGTGACTTGGGAGTCGTTGTATCCCGAATGGATCGATGAGGAACAACTTTATGCAACTCCCAGCTGTCCTTCTATACCAAAGCTTGACGTGCCTAGAAAACCAATCGACCTGATTGTGGTTAAGCTCCCTTGCAATGGGAATTGGACCAGAGATGTCGCTAGGCTACACCTGCAGCTCTCAGCTGCGTCTTTAGCAGCCTCAGCTAAAGGCACCCGTCCGGTGCACTTGCTTTTAATCACCCGATGTTTCCCCTTACCAAATTTGTTCACTTGTCGCGAGCTCGTTGCGCGCAAAGGTAGTGTGTGGCTATACAAACCAAACTTGAATGTCCTGAGACAAAAGCTGCAGCTCCCAATAGGATCCTGTGAATTGGCCCTGCCATTTGGATCCAAAGGTTAGTAAGTACAAAGCAATTTGAAAAACTATGGTTGGCAGCATGTGATGTTTTCGACTTACTCATGGCTTAAATGGACATTAAGCAATACAGAGTATTTTTCATTTCTGAAAATTCAACCAACTTGCCATTTCAACCATATAATACTTCTATTTATTACTAAATGGTCTCTTTGTTAAAATTTAAATAATAAAAAAAACAACAGGAGAATCAGGCAAGCCAGAGCGTGAGGCGTATGCAACGGTTCTACATTCTGCTTACGTTTACGTGTGTGGAGCCATAGCAGCAGCGCAGAGCATCAGAATGGCAGGATCAACCAGAGACCTGGTGATTCTTGTTGATAACACCATTAGCGAATACCATAGGAGTGGACTAGCAGCTGCAGGATGGCAGGTGCGCACAATCGAGAGAATAAGGAACCCTAAAGCCGAGAAAGATGCATACAATGAATGGAACTACAGCAAGTTTAGGTTATGGCAACTCACTGATTACGACAAGATCATCTTCATAGATGCCGATCTCCTCATCCTCAGAAACCTAGATTTTCTCTTCAGGATGCCGGAAATTTCTGCAACAGGGAACAATGGAACCCTCTTTAACTCTGGGGTGATGGTGATCGAGCCTTCCAATTGCACATTCAACCTCCTCATGGATCACATCAATGAAATCGAATCCTACAATGGAGGAGATCAAGGGTATTTGAACGAAATATTTACTTGGTGGCATCGCATTCCGAAACACATGAATTTCTTGAAGCATTTCTGGATCGGCGATGAGGCAAAGGTGAAGCAAAGGAAAACGGATCTGTTCGCCGCAGAGCCGGCAGTCCTATACGCCATCCATTACTTGGGATATAAGCCGTGGCTGTGTTACCGCGATTACGATTGCAATTGGAATGTAGACATACTACAGGAGTTCGCGAGCGACGCAGCGCACGGTAAGTGGTGGAGAGTGCACGATAGCATGGAGGCGGAGCTGCAGGAGTTGTGCCTGCTAAAATCGAAGCAGAAGGCCCAGTTGGAGTGGGACAGGCGGCAGGCGGCGGCGGCGAAGTACAGTGACGGCCACTGGCAAATCGAGATTCGGGATCAGCGGCAGAAGAGGTGTACAGATAGACTGTGTGATTGGAAGGGTATGTTGAGACATTGGGGGGAGAAGAACTGGACGTATAACCCCTACTTCCACCCGTCGCCGCCGCTATTCAAACCACGTTCCCATACCAAACCCCCGCCGCCGGCGTCCAATTCTTCTGCATATCTTAAATCTTAATTGGTCATTAAGTATTACTATGTGTTAATTTTTTCTTAGTTTGACTTCCACGATTTTTAATAAAATAGAATATTGATTATTTTTTCTTTTTCACAAAGCGAATGAGAATGGTTACTAGTATCACACCCGTGCGTTGCACGAGTCATTTTTATGTTATTAAATTCAAAACATTTATCAATGATAAAAATGAGATGCAATAGAATATAGAGATAAGTTAAAAACATCGCTGCTTTACAAATTTCAAAAGACTTTTTTATATACTACATTATATGCACAATTTGTGGGAATAGTATAATAAAATTTGGTAAGTGTAAAATAATTATTCCTACCATAATTATTTCTTAAACGGTGTGATTTTTTAGATTAGACCGTGTTATATTTTTGCCATTAATGGTAGTACACGGTAAATCACACGGTATTAACAAATTGCAATTATGGTAATTCCCAATTTCAGAAATGGTATTTTTTTAGTTTAATAATATAACGGTTTTAAAGTAATACCGTATAACTTTTTTTGCTATTAATGGTAGTACACGGTAAATCACCCAGTATTAAAAACTTGCAAATTGCAATTATGGTAATCCCCAATTTCACAGATGCTATCATTTTAGTTTACTATTATACTCTATTTAAAGTAATACCGTGTAACATTTTTTGCCATTAATAGTAGTACACGGTAATTCAAATAGTATTAACAAATTGCAATTGCAATTATGGTAAGTGGCCGTAAGTCCCATTTGTTAATACCGTGTAACATTAATTGACATTTGTTAAGGTAATAAAAATTACCATTTGTTAGTATCGTGTAATATTAATTGTCATTTGTTAATGACCCAAAAATTACCATTTGTTAATGTCGTGTAATGTTAATTGCCATTTGTTAAAACCGTGTAACATTAATTGACATTTGTTAATGTAATAAAAATTACCATTTGTTAATACCATGTAATATTAATTCCATTTGTTAAAATTTCTTTTTTTTTGCAACTCTGGACTTATAATTGTTTAACTTTCTTTTTTAATTATTTCCAATTATATTAATCACGTTTAGTATTATAACTTATCAAAAAAAGAAATACCGTGTAATATTAATGGCCAAAAAAAGAAATACCGTGTTATATCAACTTACCATTGCCTTTTTAATTATTTCCAAATTATATTAATCACGTTTAATATTATCATTATTATTATTATTTCTTAAAATTTCATATTTTGCGAATCTGAACTTATAATTGTATAACTTTCTTTTTAAATTATTTCCAATTATATTAATCACGTTTAATATTATAACTTACCAAAAAAAGAAATACCGTGTAATTTTATTTGCCAAAAAAAGAAATACCGTGTAATATTAACTTACCAATTATATTAATCACGTTTAGTATTATAACTTACGAAAGGAACTCTACGGAGTGTACCAAAAAAATACCGTGTAATATTAATTGCCATTAATTGCCTTATTATTTATTATGGTTAGTACCGTGTAATATTAATTGCCATAATTAGGTTGGCGGAGGCCATTTTAACGAAATTATTTAATATTTAATTTAATTATTTAATGTAATTGAGTCATTACCATTTTAAGTGAACAATTGTCATTTTTAATGCAATAACGCATGGGCGGGAAAATCATTTCTTGAATCTATGTCTTTTTAAATAAAGTATGGATTTCCATAGAGTTTTTATTTTTGAACATTTACATATTTATACCCTCTTATTGGCGTGAAGTAAAAAATTGAGTTGAATATTTACGTAATAAAATATTATTGGAATAGAAATTAATAACCTTTTATTACTTACCAAGTAAACATCACAATTACCATATGTAATGGTATAACATCTTTTGAAATGGAAATTTAAAATTTTTAAATGGAAATTTTATTTTTTTAATTTTTGAAAAAGAAATTTTTTTCTTTCCAAACAAATTTCCATTCTATTTTTGTTTTTTAACATTTAGGCCTCGTTTGGTACACGGAATTTAAACTATGAAATTGGAATTGGGGACTTCAATTCCAATTCTCGTGTTTGATA